ATGTCATTGTTCTTTGAAAATGAAGGATGAACAACCACAGCTGAGAAAGAGGTTGCCAGGACTGCAAGATAATCCTCAAAGAAGAAGAAAGAACTCAAAGTGTGACAATACAATAGATTTAGAGCCAAGATAACTCTAAATCTATTGATCTAATGATCATAAGAGATCATCCAATTCAACCTCCTCATTTTACAGATGAGAAAATTGAGGTCTAGAGAAGTGATGTGACTTTCTCAAGATTAAAAACGTAGTAAGGAGCAGACACAAGATTTAAACCCAGGTCTTCTGACTCCAAATCTATTTCTTTTACCACTGTACCCTGTGGCCTCAGCCCATAAGGTAATGTAAGGAGTTACCCAAAATAATGATGCTGACAGGAGTTATCACAAAAAAGTATCTCTTACCATCAAGTCCAACTTTAGTTTTTTGGATATTTTTCTGATGATAACTCATACTCTTCATTCGATCCAAACAACAGCTCTGTGAAACAGATATTATTACTAGCCTCATTTTTACAAATGAGGAAACTGAAGTTAAGAAAAGTTAAATGATTTGTCCACAGGCACGTATACTAGTAAAGTGTTTCAGTCAGGATTTGAACTCCATGTCTTTCTGACCCAAAGCCCAATACTCTAACCACTATGCCACCTACTGGTTACTAGTACAAATTAGAAAGAGATCTACAAGGAATAAAAAAAAAAAAAATGTTAAGACACCAGAAGTTTAGGGTCAGAATGCTTTCCAGGAACCAGGAAGAATATGAGCAAAGCCCAAGATGTATTTGGGGGACAATCAGTAATCCAGTCTAACTGAAGCACAGACTACCTAAAAGAGTAGTATGAGATAATGCTAGAAAAGTAGATTGGAGCCTGTCAATGGTGTCAAATGGAATTTTTGTCTTTGTTCAGCAGGCGATGGGAAGCTATTTAAAGTTTGAAAAATGTTGATGGTGAGAGGACATGTTTACAGGAGCAGTAAGAGGTGTGGATTTTGTGCGCAGAGGTAGAACAGATCAGGATTAGGTCCATTTGTGTCCTTATGAGATGGACATCCATGAGAGAAACATACCAAATACAACATTGCTGGTCCATGGTGCAACTTTCAAGCAAATCAACAGGCCTTACTTTTTACCATATTTACACAGCTTCACTGAACACTGTATGTGAGGCAACTAACTAAAAATGGGTTAACAACAATGGCTTGACATTGATTTTTCTTTAAAAGCATATTTTTTCACTATATTAAACAGTATGGTCACATTTCTTTCAGGCAGAGTTCTATCTTCTGGTTTAAAATAAAAAGAAAAACATTACCAGAAAAGCAAATTTAATAAGTTTTCAAAACTAAAACATCTGGGCTAGTGTCTGTTTTTATTTAAGGCAAGTGGACAATGAAAAGTGTGAAAATATCTATGTGAGTCCCTTAGTTGTGAGTTTATTTGGGTTCCTACTGTTAATACCCTCACTGATCTTCCAAAGACAGTGTAATAAATATTCTAAAAACAAAATCCAACAACTAGCTTCAAGAGAAGTAATCAATATCAATTTCAAAATTTAACAGGAACATCTAACACTTTAAAAATTAACATGGCATGAAAATCTGATAGGTAGCAAATGTAATTAGTATGTATTCAAACTTTCAAATTTGATTTTATGCCACAAATTTAAGTTTCCTTCAATACAGGTCTATAAACTAAGCCAAATGTGTGTAGATATAATTATAAAATAAATACAACTAATTAAACTACAGTCACTATGTAGTATGAAATAAAAGTTCAAAAAGCAAGACCTTATATTCTCAATATAGACAAAACATCTTACCTACTAAACTGCAAATTTAAAAATATCCAAAATTATTACCACTCAAAATGAAGAGTAATTTTTTACATCTACATATTTTTAAGCTAATTACAGGTGTCATTTATTTCTTCAAAATCAGTGCTCACATTCAAAACACTGAACAAAATGATCCTTTAAAGACCCTATGGGAATACCAAAAGCTCTTTTCATATTTCAACAGCTTTAATTTTTTAAAAATGAATCTACATTGGAAGAAAATCTGTTCACAAAGTCTTGGATTCCAGGGTGAAAATCTCACTAAAAAGGTCACCTTTTTCCCATTAATCATTCCTTGAATTCCATATCAATGTCATTGAAAATAAACATTAACAGCAAAAAAAAAGTTCATGGTTTTATGACTGCCTTGCTATCAACAATGTGAATAAAACTAGTAAATTCTGATGGATAACTCGGGGCTGGCAGAGGACCTACCTTACATCTCATTCCATTAATTTTGTTACTATTTCTTTAAAAAACATTTTTGAAATGATGTGATAAGAATAGGTCTAGAAATCAAAGTCAGACGAAACCTTAATAAATAAGAAACTGAAAAGACTATATCAATTAGATTTCCAAACTCAGAAGAAAAAAATCTGGACAAACCTTTCACAAGATAAGTTAAGAATTCTTACTATAAAAATGTTCTTTTACAACTACAAAGGCTCCTGAAATGCAAAATGCCTTTGATATCAGCTGATATTCTTATTAAAGACTCATATCAACAAACTTTGAAGAGAGAACAAAACCCAAAGCACTGAAAGAATATTAACTTGACCAGACATTCAAAATTTTGTCACCATGAGAAACAAAATACATGAATTAAGTTAGGAGTCCTCCTCTAATAAGCATAGTTGGTGTTAGAATCCTTTTACAGAGCTTGACCTACTAAAAATAAATGAAAATAAATGATGGAAACTGTTTTCATCCAAGATTAAATGGTGAGACCCTTCCCTATAAATGTCCTTTTCTACCGACTTCGGAGAAGGAGGAAAAAGAAGGGAACGCTTGCTTTCAGATGTGTATGGATGGAGTGCAGTTCCCAAAAGATAACTTGACCCAGTCATCTATGGGTTTTTTTCTGGACACACCAAGAGAGTTTTCCCTTTCTAATTTTACCACTCTCAAACAAACTCTCATGGGGATATGGAGTACATAGGAATAGTTGTATTCATTCAGTTACGCATAAACAAGTATTTGTAGCAACTCTGAATTCAAATCCTTAGATACTATGGTGATAAGTCAGTCATCTTTAAAAGGGTCAAAGAAACCAGTATTAGAAATGGTAGGGTGTACTTAGTAACTAGGAAATGGAAAAGGAAGCATTAAATCCATATTAAGTACTGTACAACTTTGCTATACAAAATCTATTTTTAAAATAGCAATCCGATGTGTTAACACAAAGAAAACCTATCCTTTTACTATGATTACTCAGATCAGGCCCTGAAGCACCTCCATTTCATTAAAGTTAGAATCAGCTAAGTCTGTAGCAGTGCAGACACCTACCATTCTGAAGAGCGCAATGGTTTCTGCACTGTACCACAAAAATACACAGTCATTCCTCCATTCATTTTGGCACTTGAACAAACATATAGGTCAAAGTTCATACACATGCTCTGTAGAAAAGATTCATGTGGAATACTAACAGTACACAAACATCCCAATTGTATAAAGTAACTAGTAATTTTTTTTTCTAAAACACAAGATACTATGTCTACCTGGAAAGATGTGGCATTTTCTTTTTTCATGATCACTGTAGACTCAATAAGTTTTTAGGTCTAATGTCAACCTGATATGATTTACTCTTCATCATTTATACAGAACACTAAATTTCAAAAGTAACACTCCTTATTATCAAAGTACCATAATAGCAAGACATTTAAAAGAGATCATGATCATAATGTAATCAAATTAAATATTCTGCTTCTATTTTAGGGAAGATATATATAAATTTCCAATTAAACAATTCCATACTTTAATTATCATGATAATAAATAATGCACTATCTATATCTCTTAAGTGTGGGAAAACTGTTCAGAGATCAGCATTGTTTGAATTACATGACAAACCTTAATAACATCACCAGACTGTTACATATATGCAGCACTAACAGGGTGTGCACGTATCTAGAAGAAACAGGAAGAAAATTTGTCCAACTGTAAATTTTTAATCATTCTTTGAACAGTAAATGATAATTAAATCACCTATCATTCTTGTTCAGAAGGCAGTCGGTGAACTTTCATATTTTCAAATGCTCTTTTTCAAGGGTATTATACAAGTTAACTAGAAGGGACATAAGTTTGGTATATAACTTAAGTCATCAAGCAATGTCTTAAGAGCCATTGTCTATCGACCTTTAAAGATCATATAAAAACATAGTACTGTAATCTGTTCTCACCAACCACTGTCATTGGCTAAAAATATTAAATTCAACCAAAAACTGCCCTTCCTCAGACAAAACACTTGAGGGGTCAATGAAGGGGTCCATTCCTGAGAGACCTGGAATTAATCATTTATTTCAGCGGAAAAAAAATCTCTTCACTCCACTAGGACACTAAACCACCATGTTGTCCAGTCTCTTCCCTGCCTACCTTTCATCCAATGCATCTAAGAAGAAATCACCCTAAGTATCTTCCTTCCTTCTTTCATCAATGCCCAGGGATCTTTCCAAAGGAAAAATGGGGGAAAGCTCATAGCACAGGACCTCCCCGAACCCCCATCCCCCAAGGCCCCGAGCAGACCTGCTCGCAGTCCGATTCTCTTCCCACCTTTCCCCTTCCCCCAACCCACTTCCCGAGGTTTCTCGGCCTCGGCCTGCTCCCTCCCGGCGCCGCCGCAGCCACACTTCCTGCAGCAGCGGCCACGGCCTCGGGGCTCGGGCTCGCCGACCGGCGCAGCCCCTTCCCCACGCCGTCCCCCCCAAACCTAGCCTCGCCTTCCGCCGCCCTCCCGCCGGTGACACCGCCAAACAGGGGCCCGGGGCGGGGGGTGGAGAAGGGCTGGAGGAGGAGAGCACCAGGCGCAGAGGGGACCGGGCACGCGGGGGGCCGCCCGGGGGGGGAGGGGAACGCCCGGGAGTGCCGGAGGGTCGAGGAGGTCGTGCCCGGGAAGGGAGCGCTTGGCCTCGGGATGAGGCGGGGGACGGCCGGGGAGTTCATTCCTGACCTCCTCGCTCTTCAGCACCTCCTTGAACTCTCGCTTGATTCGCTGCACCGCAATGTTGGCCATGTCTCCTCCCGCAGCCGTTTCGCACCCCCCGCCTCCGCCGCCGCCACGACCGCCGCCGCCGCCGCCACCTCCTCCGCCGCCGCCTCCTCCCTCAGCGATTCAGAGCAGAGCCGGGGAGCCGCGCCGCCACCGCCGCTCTCTCCTCACAGTGGACTCACCTCCTCGCCCGGCCACCAAAATGGCGCTGGGGCCGCGCATGCGCATGGCGATCGCCCAGCCGGGCGGCGCAGCGGCTCTCCTTGTGAGCCCCCAGGAAGCTTCTAAGCCGCGAGCCCGCCAGCCGGCCACGAGCTTTGGCCTGTGCTCCGCCGCGTGCGTGGGGTGGTCCCGGGCTTCCGTGGCGCGCGCGCGTGCACCTCCCCTTCACCCTCCCCCCTCCCTCCAAACTCGCGGAGGGGGGTCACCTGGCGGGATCCCTAGGTTGAGACCATTCAAGCCTCGCCCCTTTCTTTTAAACCCTTCCGCTGGCTCTTAGGCCGGCTCTTAGGCCAGCTCCTAGGCTCCTGGCCGCCTCCCGGACTTTGATGGGGTACTTCGAGGCAGCGACCCCGCTGAAGGGAAGCCGGCGCGACCCGGATCAGTGCACCATGGGGACCCCCTTCCCCCCAAATGCTTCTCAGCCCATCCCGACACACTCCCTGCAACCAGCTGGGCGGGGGTGGGGTTGGGGGCTGGGTGGGGGCTGGGAGACACGGAGAGGCTTTCCAGAGGAGAGAGAAAAAGAACCACCGCAGATCTCAAACCTTTTCTAAAGTGGGGCCCACCCCAAAATCGCGGCCGTCATTTTTTTTTTTTTTTTGAGGATAAAATCGACAGAGCCCTAACAGGGAATTACGTTCTCCTCCCTACCGCCACCCCCACCACCTATCACAAAAGAGTGCTGACGAGGCGCTCAGGGAGTGCTGGCCCCGGCCAGCCCGTCTGCAGAGCAGCCGAGAAGCCACGACGCAAAGCCCGTAGCGGCCTGGAAGGCCAGGCCAACCCGGCCGTGCGGGTCGAGGCGGCGGCTCCCCTCGTTGCGCGCCTGCGAGCTACGCTATGCGGGATTCTCTGGCCCAGTAGGGGCTCGCCTTGGGCTGCTGCTAAGCAGGCGCAAGGACCCAGGCTGGGAGCGGGAAGATGGGATAGGAGCCCCGTGGGTCCTAAGTTGGGAGGGAGTTTACGAAGCAGCCGCAGAAAGCCTGAGAAGGAGGCTTCGGCTCCCCAGGCAAGAGCTAAGGAAGATTGGAGGCCAGGGCGGAAAGAAGTGTTAACTCCCTTCGCGTATGAACCCGGCTTTGGAAAGATTAGAGAGGCTGGGGCTGGGGAGAAGTTTATCTAGACTCCAGTAACCTCGTCTTCTTTGGGTGGAAGGCTTATCTCCAAAGAACCCGAGAAAGATACACAGTATCATAGATGTGGTTTTACACAATGTGCCAAATAGAACAAGATGTAGCCATAACCGCTACAAAAAAAAAATGCGGCAACAGAAAGGGAAACGAAAAAAACGCCCAAAAAGATAGTTTCCCAGCTGACCGTCTAACGTCAGAGATCAAGGGCTTCCAGCAGAGCCCCCTCGTGGTCCAGAAGGGAGCCGAAATGTGTTTTGTGGGTCACGGTGCGTGAACAGCCAACGTGAGGCGAGTACACGGAAGTTGGGTTTTTTTGTTGTTGGTTTGCGTGTGCTTTGGGTTTTTTTTTTTACTTTGTTACGCAATCTTCTGCGTCTGTGCCTGGACCAATTTTGATCCAAGGATCTTGGGGTTTACACGCTATCAAATGGGCCTTAGGTCTCAGTCCTTTGGCACGTCTTCAATTCAGTCCCTATGTCAAATCCCCAGATTCCCAACATGAATGAAATTCACAGAATACCAATAGTTCTTTACCAGAACTTTAGATTTTTCTGCAAAGCTATCAGGCAACGACACACAGACCCTTCTAAAAATATTATAGTTTGCCAAGGTGATCTGCTTCTCCTAAGAGTTACCTACCAACCCTTCTTAAGCTCAGGTAACATTTTTCTTTTCTCTTAGTAAGGTAGCATGAATTATCTTGTGTTGTTAGCCAATGTGGTATAACATACTTATTAAACTTGCACCAGGGCAAGGGTCGGCATCTTATTTAATGCTGAATTTCCCAAACATCCACCCTCTTAATCTCTTAATGGGAAAATAAATGACTATTGCCCTTAGTTTTTCAAAAATCCCCTCTAGGGCAATGGATCACAGATTGCAAGCTGGGAAAATCTAGTCCAACCCACTCATTTTGCAGATGAAGAAACTGAGGCCCAGAGGTGAAGAGGCTCACCCAAAATCACTCAAGGAGTAAATGGCAAAATTGAGTCTTCAGCCCTCATCCTCAGATGCCAGACCCAATCGCATTCTATAATAGGCACTTAATAATTATTTATTGAATTGAATTTTTAAGTGAGCTTTACTTATAATTTTAAGGGCTTAGATTTCACAGGATTTACCATCTTGTGCTATTGTTACAGATGAGGGGGAGGGTTTGGATTGAAAAACGAGTTTTCAAATAGCTTGAGGAAGAGGGTACTGTGGTAACTTTTGTTACCACTTAAAGGTCTGTTTGTTTGGGGTTGTGTTTTGTTTCGTTTTTGTTGTTTTTTTTTTGATACATTTTATTTTGATTTAACAGAAACTTCCTAACAAACCATCCTCCAATCCCTCCCTCTCTTCTCCAGTACAGTTCCAGGAAATAGTTAAGCAAAATTGTCTTATAGAATATTAAAAGTTTTGACTCAGGCCAAATTAAGTACCATAAGGTAATAAAGTATGATTCCCTTCTACTGGCACAAGTATCTTCCACTATTTTAGAATACTAGAAGAAAATAGTCATTATTTTCCCATTAAAGAGGAAATAAATATCTAAGATTCCTTTCTTCACTCTTTCATTGATCTTGCTGCTGCTGTTACTGCTCAATCAGTAAACATGTATTAAGTGCCTACCATGGGTCAGGCAATGTGCTAAGGGCTGGGCATACAAAAAGGCAAAAGACGGTCTCTGCCTTTAAGGAATTAACAATCTAACTGCCTATCTTTGCAGAAGTTTTTTATTCATCCCGCAGAAAAATTCTTTTTTCCCTTCAGTCTTTTCCTGACAAAGGACATGTGGTATTTTGCCAGATTCTTTAGACTTCTTTCTCTTACTTTGCTTTTGCTTCTAGCCCCCTCATTTGATTCTCTTTGAAAAATCACTTTTCTTCAAAACATTGAACTTGGAGATAATTTTACTTTCACTGCACTGACTGACCTCTACCCTTGGCATACTGTTAGCTTCCTATGGCAGCTGGAATGGGAAGCTCCAGTTGCAGGAGGAGAAGGCTACATTTAGTTCCATACAAACTTCTAAACTTAGCTCCAGGCCAGTGGGGCACCAGAGAATTGATCATGATGTGTGCTGCATTATTCCAGGCTCAGAATGCATTAGAAATCTGACCAATGTGGTTTTTAAAAGTTTTGCAGAGTGAAGCAGAAACGTTACAAGGCCAGTTTTGCTAGTGCAGGCTCCCAGCAGAGCTATAATGGCAATCATTATCAAGGTAGTAGAAAATGGGCATGTCTCTGAGCAAATTCAGAGTGCTTGGAATTCAATTCATTTCACTGTTTTTTGTATTGGACATTAATAATAATGTGGATTCTAATAAGTTAACCTCTTACTGTATTTTTTAATTTGGCTTTAGGAAATGGGTTACTGTAAGTTGAAATAGCTTAAAATAGTATTTACTAATATAACTTTCAACACTTTTATATACTTGATTAAGCAAGACCGACAGAGCCCAGGATCCTGAACCCAAGAACCTAGCAAATAGCAGTGTACTCCAGTCTACTGTGTACTCCAAGCCCACTGGACCTACATACCGCCCAACCCCCATAGCCATCACAAGGAGATGAATCATTATGGAAAAGAGGTCCACCTTTCCTCATCACCAACAGCATCTGGCAGATAGGCTCAGGAATGGCAACACCCCCACCCTAACCTCGGCCTCACAGTCATCCTCTAGTGAGGTGGCTCCTCTGAAGAAGGGACCAGTCATCTCCACCAACTGCCAACCAGCTTCCACACACACACAGGACAGGCAAGCCAGACTCAAGAAGCAGCAGGACATGAGCAGAAGAGATAGGAGACAAGCACGTGCTAGGCAAGTCAAGTTTAACTCTCCTGTGTCCTTGGGCTCCTGATGGAAAGAAGCCCAGGACCCTGAACCAAGAGCCTAGGAAATAGTAACTCTTCTAGCAGTATCCAAATGCCATCATCCTAAAAGGCAATTCCTTTGGAGGTGCAACTGCATATGTAGGTGCTATAGCCACATCTTTTAAAGATGGAAAAAAAGGAAGTCCTTGACACTGCCAAATGGTTCAACGTCAGAAATTGATATGATTTTTATCAGTGGAAATGATATTAAAAAGGGGGCACTACAATCTGCTTTGCCGTTGTATCCTAAGGACCATGGGACTTTCCCGTGGGACTTGCAGCTGAAACCTTCCATATGTGTTTTCTCCCCTATTAGAATGGAGTTCTCTAAGAGCAGGAGCTCTCTTCCTTTTCAACTTGTGTGCCCAGTGCTTTGCACATAGTAAGTATTTAATAAATGCTTTATTCATTTATCCATTTATTCAACTTATGGCAATCTGCCATATTCCTGTTTGGGTCTTATGTAGTGAAGAGGAATCAGTTCATTATTTCAGTTGACCTTTTCACATGCAGTTGCGGTTTATTCAAGCTTCAGACTCTTTCTTAGGTGTGTAGTGCTTCATTTAGATCTGAAAGAATTTCCTTTGCATTTCATAGTCTTTGTCTTTTGCCCCTACTTGTAGTCCAAACAGTACCTCCTTTCACCTGAAGACAGCTACCACTTATCCCAATAAGCCTTTTCTTTTCCCGACAAAATATACCTGGTTCCTTCAACCAAAACTGGAATGACCTGACCTAGAGGCCTAGAGACAAGCAGTGAATACCCTCTCACTTGTAAATGTCCATACTAAAATGAAAATATCCTTATCCTCATTTTCCAAGCGAGAATACTTAGAACTAGAGAAGTGAC